TACTCTATTATACCATACCCTACCATACTCTACCATACGCTACTATATCCTACTCTACTCTACTATACTCTACTCTTCTATACTATACTCTACTCTACTCTACTCTACTTTACCCTACTCTACCCTACCCTACTCTACCTACCCTACTATATCCTACTTTACCCTACCCTACCCTACCCTACTCTACCCTACCCTACCTTACCCTGCTCTACCCTGACCCTACCCTACGCTACTCCCCTACCCTACCCGAACCTACCCTACCCCCTTACCCTACCTTACCCCTACCCTACTCTACCCTACCCTACTCTCTCTACCTCTACACCCTAACCTACCCCACCCTACCCTACCCCTACCCCTCCTCCTACTCCTACCCCTACCATACTCTACCCTCCCCCACCCTACCATACTCTACTCTACCATACCCTACCACTACCCTACTAACTTTACTCCTACCATACTCTACCCTACCATACTCTACCCTACCCTAACCTACTCTACCCTACCCTACCCTAACTCTACCTACCATACTCTACCCTACCCTACCATAACTCTACCTACCCTACTCTACCATACCTTACCCTACTCTACCCTACCATACTCTACACACCCTACCCTACCATATCCTACCTTACTCTACCCTATTCTACTCTACTCTACTCTACCATACCCTACCCTACCCTACTCTACGCTACCCTATTCTACTCTACTCTACTCTACTCTACCATACCCTACCCTACCCTACTCTACGCTACCCTACTCTACTCTACTCTACTCTACCCTACTCAACTCTACTCTATCCTACCTCTACTCTACTATACTATACTCTACCCTACCCTACCATACCCTACTCTACGCTACCCTACCTACCCCTACGCTACTCTATCCTACCCTACCTTACCCTACCATACTCTACCCTACCCTATTCTACCCTACCCTACCCTACCCTACTCTACTTAACTCTACCATATCCTACCATACTCTATCCTACCCATACCCTACCCTTTACCCCACCCTACCTTACCTTACTCTACCTTATCCCTACTCTATCCTACTTTACCCTACCCTACGCTACTCTACCCTACGCCCTCTACCCTACGCTACTCTACTCTACTCTACCCTACTCTACTCTACTATACCCCACTTTACTCTACTCCACCCTACCCCCACTTTACCCTACTCTACCCTACTCTACCCTACTACTACTCTACTCTACTCTACCTCTACTCTACTCTACTCTACTCTACTCTACTCTACTCTACTCTACTCTACTCTACTCTACTCTACGCTACCCTACCCTACCCTACCCCTACCCTACCCTACCCTACCCTACCCTACCCTACCCTACCCTACCCTACTACTCTACTCTACTAACTCTACTCTACTCTACTCTACTCTATTCTATTTTACTCTAATCTACCCTACCGTATCCTACCCTACTCTACCCTACCCTACCCTAAGTTGAAACAAATCTAAAACATAGTTAGAAAAATCACTGAATATAATCGATTGAATAGAAACAATTACAACATAAAAAAAAAAGTTTAGATGAGATCAACACAAATATTTCTATGGAAGAAGATGGAAAACTAGATATGTAAAATGGTATAGAGTAGAGCAAACTACGTTTTATAATAAAAAGTTTCGTGTTAGAAAGGGAAAAAACTTATGAACATTAATTTTGCTATCTTTAATACGCACAAAAATTATATTATATTTAATCAAAAATATATTTATAACATAGTTTATTCAAATTTATCATTAATAGATAATTTTATATAAATAAATAAATATGTATAAACATTAATATAATTAAAGTTTTCTATATCTATCCATAATTAATATATATATATATATATATATATATATATATATATATATATATATATATATATATATATATATATATATATAATATATATATATATATATATATATATATATATATATATATATATATATATATATTATTTATATATATAATCTATAATTATATTCTATTAATATTTTGAATAGACATAACCAAATAAAAAAATCTTTTAAATGAAAATACACACATGAATTTTTCAAAATATAAAATTTACTTGTGTTTTTAATTAATTAAAAAATAGTAAAAATTTGCTTAAATTTTAGAAAAATATATATTCTTTCTTTAAAAATAAAGTTTAATATTTATTGATAACAATTATAAAATATAATATTTTTTGAATTCTAAGCAAATTTTATTATTTTTTATTTAAATAAAAATTATATTATATATTTTTTAATATATATATTAATTGTTTAATTAGTACTCATATTCTACGAATTCTGACGTGGACATGCACTGAGAGTAAAAATGTGATTAAAAAGATGTGGCTAAAACATGAGATTTCAAAAACCAATTTCATTAAAAAGAAAACCACTTACCATGTAAAAATTAGCCATGTACTATGGAGTGGCACCAATTTGTACTTGAGAATCATACATCCCAAATCCAACCAATTGGTAATAAATTAATCAACATACTTTAATAAATTAAATTCGTATAAATAGCTGGTTCCAATATAAGAAAATATTTATAAATGAGATAAGAGTGACTTTATATTCTCAATGACACTCCTGTGATGGGAGGCTGTTGGAATGGATGGTTATTTGAAGTCTCAAAATAATAAAGTGTACTGACATGCCGTCTATGCCAAACCCCCAGTTAAATAATAAAGTGGCTGTTGGAATGGTTAGGTAATATTTTTTCTTTTCTAAATCTGTAGTTTTAATCTTTAGTTGACGATTCCAGGTTTCCAGCCGACATAATTATAAGGCCAGTTATTCTCAATGTGTCATCCCAGTACACTATAATAAAACAACAAGTAAACAATTTTAGTACACTATAATAAAACAACAAGCAAACAATTTTAGTTAGTAAGAGAAAATCAGACCGTATAAGTGCAATGATGTGCATGTATGAAATGGAACATAAACTAAAAACTATAAGTGCAGAAAGTTGCAAGAAAAAAAAACTTATGAAAAACTATATGATAATCAAATATCATGTCAAACTTACAGGTATGTGTAAGTTACAATAGCAAGGAGTAATATGAGAGACCAGAAGACTTATAAGAAAAATCAACGTCAATGACATGTGCAAGAAGAGTAAATGTAAATTAGTTCATGGAAAAGCAATAGATAACTTTAGAGAGTGACAATCTACGAAGAACACATGGAGAGTGATAATATATGTAGATAACATCAAGAGAGTGACAATCTATGAAGATTCGAAACATACCTGTTCCAAGGCAATACTTGCACCCGGTTTCCCGACCAATCTTCGAATATGGGCAGCGTTGCAACTCCTCTGGCAGAAGACATTTATACAATTGCCATCTTCAGGAACTACTACAAAGTTGCATTCATATTGGCTACAAAGACCAAATTCCAAATGCATTCAAGTTTGAAGTTACAAATTTCGTTTTGGTACAAAGAGATTTCAAGTAACATTCAAGTTGTTAAGGTTTCAAAAATCCAAAGCAGTATGAACAATTCAAGCCAATCATGGCAAAAGCATTGACACATGAGGGAATATAACTTTAGTACATGTAGTAACTCAAACATTCCCATCTCATCAACTCTGTGTCAGGTCCCATCGGTTCAACTTCATCAAGATATCTTCCATTTCTTCATTGTAAAGCCTTTCTTTTAACACAGTCCATGTACAAAACCTGTCTAGCAATTAACACAAGAAGATATCACAAAAAAAAAATAGAGTTGTCAACATGTGAGTACCATGATTCCATTTCTGATGAACTCTGTTGCCCCTAATGCCGTCCATGTTCAGAAAGTTCTCCGAAATAACCTGGACACAAAACTCATAAATATTCAATATTCACTTACGATCAACCAATAGAACATATAAAAGTAACTTATTTTTCGGTGGCAGTGACGACATTGTGATTCATGCGATATCAAGTTAGAGACTTTGTTGACAACACCAAATTGAACATGTCACCAGCCTACAGAAAGAGCAGTAGGCATAAACAAATCGCTCATTCACCGCGACAAAAATAAGACGAAACTACCAATAAGACTGCAGTAAATCAATGACTAAAATAAGTTCATAAATGTAAAATATTTACAACATTCAAAATGATACTTTAGATTCTAAATGACCTGAAGCAGCCCGTCCACGTGACATTATTCCTCAGTGGCATTTCATCGAACAGTACACATGCATCAATAAAAGAGTTTATAAAATATTATGGCAATAATAATTACGTGCAACAAAATAATATCACGGTCCTCAAACGAACAACGAAATATTCAATTCAAACCTTAAGAAACCGGCGTTCCAACTTTATTGCGGACCTCAAATTGAACTCCTTCAGATATTCTGTAACAGCAACCTCAACCACATTATCGCCCGCAATCGAACTCGAGAAACCAAACCCAATAATTTTTTACAGCAATAATCTTTTTCATGTTCAAAATTTTTATATTATTTTATTTCCTAACATGAGTTATGTTCGACAAATTGCATTTTGAAAAGGAAACAACTTTACTAAAAAATTAAAAACTCAATAGCCTGTAATGACTTTGAAATGTACCGAAACGGAGCTTACTTTGGTAAAGGCTCGCATATGTTTTAACATCAACAGCATCACCATCCAATGTGAAAAGTACCAAATATGAGCTTACCCTGTGAAAGTTTCAACAGCAGTGGCGACCCCATAGTCACCTGAATCCAACACTTTCACTATAAAGATCAAGATAAAGATACAAACGTTCAAAAACTCGTATGAAGATACCACAAAAAAAACACTTCAATCTTGATGATGAAACTTTCATGTTCCTCTTCCATGGTACAACCTTTGACCAATACCTCCAATGTCGGAAATCTGCGAAATTGAAAAAACAAGAACATAATCACATTGGAAAATAGTTCTTTTTATCAAAAACTTAAGAGAGACGAACAGAGAATGATCTTCAAATCCACCGTGCTCCAAAGTTGTCACGCAAATTGCTTAACACCGCATCCGCGTGTCCTCTTCAAAATTTATCATAAATAGATAATTTTATATAAATATGTATAAACATTAATATTATTAAAGTTTTCTATATCTATCCATAAATATATATATGTATTATATCTTATTAGTAGATATATATATATATATACAAATATATACATTTATATTCATTAATATATATATATATATATATATATATATATATATATATATATATATATATATATATATATATATATATATATATATATATATATATATATATATATATATATTCAGTTTAATCTATAATTATATTCTATTAATATTTTGAATAGACATAATAATTTTTAAAATTTAACCAAATAAAACAAATTTTAAAATCAAAATTTAAAATGAAAATACACACGTATGAATTTTTTCAAAATATAAAATTTACTTATGTTTTTAATTAATTAAAAAAATAGTAAAATTTGCTTAAAGTTTAGAAAAATATATATTCTTTCTTTAAAAATAAAGTTTAATATTTATTAATAACAATTATAAAATATAATATTTTTTTAATTCTAACCAAATTTTATTATTTTTTATTTAAATAAAATTATATATATATATATATATATATATATATATATATATATATATATATATATATATATATATATATATATATATATATATATATATATATATATATATATATATATATATATATATATATATATATATATATATATATATATATATATATATATATATATATATATATATATATATATATATATATATATATATATATATATATATATATATATATGAATTTAATTTATTCAAGTATATTGTTTAATTAGTACTCATATTCTATTACTAATGGGAAATTCGTGCATTCGTACGAATTCTGACGTGGACATGCAGTGAGAGTAGAAATGTGATTAAAAAGATGCGACTAAAACATGAGATTTCAAAAATCAGTTTCATTAAAAAGAAAACCACTTACCATGTAAAAACTAGCCATGTACTATGGGTGGCACCAATTTGTACTTGAGAATCATACATCGCAAATCCAACCAATTGGTAATAAATTAATCAACATACTTGAATAAATTAAATTCATATAAATAGCTGGTTCCAATATAAGAAAATATTTATAAATGAGATAAGAGTGACTTTATATTCTCAATGGATAGTTATTTGAAGTCTCAAAATAATAAAATTTTCTAACTATATTATATAAATAATAAAGTGGACTGACATGCCGTCTATGCCAAACCCCCAGTTAAAATTATTGTGTTTCTCCTATTATTTTGTTTGTTTTGGACAAATACTAGAGGTATAATATCTTACCATCTTGTTCCATGTTTCTAATAAGCTTCATTAGGAGGTTGAATGCATGGATCTAGTCTTGATGAGGCCATGCATTACCTTTGCTGGACTGCACTACAGTAGTTTGTTGGCCATTAGGTAATATTTTTTCTTTTCTAAATCTGTAGTTTTAATCTTTAGCTGACGATTTCAGGTTTCTAGCAGACATGATTATAAGGCCAGTTATTCTCAATGTGTCATCCCAGTACACTATAATAAAACAACAAGTAAACAATTTTAGTTAGTAAGAGAAAATTGGACGAGTTATATCAGACCGTATAAGTGCAATGATGTGCATGTATGAAAATGGAACATAAACTAAAAAAGTGCAGAAAGATGCAAGAAAAAAAGCTTATGAAAAACTATATGATAATCAAATATCATGTCAAACTTACAGGTATGTGTAAGTTACAACAGCAAGGAGTAATATGAGAGACCAGAAGACTTATAAGAAAAAAGTGCATGATGAAGACTTGATCACCACATGAGGGAAACTTGAATAATCTTGATCAAATGTTTAAGAGTTAGATGAAGATGGCATGGAAATAAACATATTAATCATTCTTGAATCTTCTTTTAAAGCATGCTTCAAACTTGACCTTCTTTTGCACAAATAATGTTGAATGAGTCTTAACATGAATATGACCTAAGATTATAGGCCATGCCTTAAAGTGAAAGCTCTTGTGCAAACACACTATATACAATAGATGAATGCAAACACACTATGTACGAGAGATGAATGCATATTTAAGTACGTAAATTTGCCATAACTACTGTATAATAGTTTTCATGGAAAATGATAACTGTAACACGGGGTCACTAGGTAAGATTATTAATAGATTATCAACATGTATATGTTTTGTGAACTGATGTTTATTTGACATACTTCAAGAAACATCCACTTTGAACCCATTTATTGCTTAGAGTTGAAGTCTTTCAATTAAGTTTTTTGGTGAAGGGATAGAAGTTTGGATAGGAAGATTATTCATCTCCAATGGATTTAACAAATTTCTTCTCATTCCCAATCCCATAAATCATCTCAATATTCATGGGATTTGCAGTAGAAACACACAAAAACCTAACTTTTAGTTTTTTTTAAAGACCAAATATTATTAAACACAACATAAGAGATGCCAACCCACCATACAGTATATCCAGTACAAATGTTATGTAATTGCATAACAGAAAGCTACAGACCAGAACCCCTAAAACTCTAAACTCCCACCATGTTTGATGACTCTTCATTACAGGGATAGAAGACATTTAATCCATTTTTATATTTTGTATGTAATGTTTATATACTATGAGTGAGTTATAGAAAATTGTTTAACTAGATTTATCTTACTTCCAATCTATCATAACCTCTCAAATTATAATTTAGATTTAAGAAATCTGTAGGATCTATTGTCTCATGTAGCGATCATACATATAGACCGCAAGCACTAGAATTTAGAAAATTGTTTTTTTTGGTATCATAAAATATAAATAACATTTAAACTGATTATTAATTGGACCCTTTATAAGTAAGTTAGTTGGTTGCTGATACGACCCTTTATCTTCAATGGTGTGGGTTTGAAACCAGTTGCTGACAAAATTTACGTAACAGACGTAAATGACACTGTTTGAACACATAAGAAACTATATTGACACTTTTAAAAGTTAAGTTAAAAGATTAAAAATGATATTTTACCAAAACTATCATAAAGAGCATATGAGAGAAAAGATTAGAAAAGAAGAGGTACATTTAAAACGCAATTAAAAGAGAGAATCAATCATATTTGTAAGACTAAGGTATAATAGCTTTGAGTTTGAGTTTGAGTTGAATGTGGTTAAATGAATTTTGGATTGTAACATAACGTGGTTTGGTTCAGAATGATTCAATTTATAAAATACAAATCGAACCGTGCAATTTTAGTTCATGGAAAAGCAATAGATAACTTTAAGAGAGTGACAATCTACGAAGAACACATGGAGAGTGATAATCTATGTAGATAACATCAAGAGAGTGACAATCTATGAAGATTCGAAACATACCTGTTCCAAGGCAATACTTGCACCCGGTTTCCCGACCAATCTTCGAATATGGGCAGCGTTGCAACTCCTCTGGCAGAAGACATTTATACAATTGCCATCTTCAGGAACTACTACAAAGTTGCATTCATATTGGCTACAAAGACCAAATTCCAAATGGCATTCAAGTTTGAAGTTACAAATTTCGTTTTGGTACAAAGAGATTTCAAGTAACATTCAAGTTGTTAAGGTTTCAAAAATCCAAAGCAGTATGAACAATTCAAACCAATCATGGCAAAAGCATTGACACATGAGGGAATATAACTTTAGTACATGTAGTAACTCAAACATTCCCATCTCATCAACTCTGTGTCAGGTCCCATCGGTTCAACTTCATCAAGATATCTTCCATTTCTTCATTGTAAAGCCTTTCTTTTAACACATTCCATGTACAAAACCTGTCTAGCAATTAACACAAGAAGATATCACAAAAAAAAATAGAGTTGTCAACATGTGAGTACCATGATTCCAATTCTGATGAACTCTGTTTCCCCTAATGCCGTCCATGTTCAGAAAGTTCTCCGAAATAACCTGGACACAAAACTCATAAATATTCAATATTCACTTACGATCAACCAATAGAACATATAAAAGTAACTTATTTTTCGGTGGCAGTGACGACATTGTGATTCATGCAATATCAAGTCAGAGACTTTGTTGACAACACCAAATTGAACATGTCACCAGCCTACAGAAAGAGCAGTAGGCATAAACAAATCGCTCATTCACCGCGACAAAAATAAGACGAAACTACCAATAAGACTGCAGTAAATCAATGACTAAAATAAGTTCATAAATGTAAAATATTTACAACATTCAAAACGATACTTTTGATTCTAAATGACCTGAAGCAGCCCGTCCACGAGACATTATTCCTCAGTGGCATTTCATCGAACAGTACACATGCATCAATAAAAGAGTTTATGAAATATTATGGCAATGATAATTACGTGCAACAGAATAATATCACGGTCCTCAAACGAACAACGAAATATTCAATTCAAACCTTAAGAAACCGGCGTTCCAACTTTATTGCGGTCCTCAAATTAAACTCCTTCGGATATTCTGTAACAGCAACCTCAGCCACATTATCGCCCTGCAATCGAACTCGAGAAACCAAACCCAATAATTTTTTATAGCAATAATCTTTTTCATCTTCAAAATTTTTATTTATTTTATTTCCTAACATGAGTTATGTTGGACAAATTGCATTTTGAAAAGGAAACAACTTTACCAAAAAATTAAAAACTCAATAGCATGTAATGACTTTGAAATGTACCGAAACGGAGCTTACATTGGTAAAGGCTCGCATATGTTTTAACATCAACAACATCACCATCCAATGTGAAAAGTACCAAATATGAGCTTACCCTGTGAAAGTTTCAACAGCAGTGGCGACCCCATAATCACCTGAATCCAACACTTTCACTATAAAGATCAAGATAAAGATACAAACGTTCAAAAACTCGTATGAAGATACCACAAAAAAAACACTTCAATCTTGATGATGAAACTTTCATGTTCCTCTTCCATGGTACAACCTTTGACCAATACCTCCAATGTCGGAAATCTGCGAAATTGAAAAAACAAGAACATAATCAGACATTGGAAAATAGTTCTTTTTATCAAAAACTTAAGAGAGACGAACAGAGAATGATCTTCGAATCCACCGTGCTCCAAAGTTGTCACGCAAATTGCTTAACACCGCATCCGCGTGTCCTCTTCAAGTCGTCGCTCACGCCACCATAAGATTCACCACACCGCCACCTTATCACATCCCGTCGCCGGTAAATTCAGATTCCATATCTTTCCATTTTTCAGTGTGAAGAAGAGGAAGAACGGAAGGCGTGTAGAAGGAGAAGAAATAAGAAGGTTTAGGGTTAGGGATTTGTAAAGAAAGATGAGACTGCGGAGAAAGAAAGGTCGTCAAAAGGAAGAAAGAGAAAAAGAGAGTAAAAATGATATGGATTCATGTGAAAGAGAGATATAAAAAAAAAATCCAATTCTTTAATACTATAATTGGACAATTCGTTATAGAAAGACCAAAAAACCTAAATATTTAATGGTCGTAAAATAAGTAAGGATGGGTATTGATGTCTTTTCAAGAGGTTATATTTTGAATTATCATGAGATTTTTTTAAATTTTACTAAATCAAAAAATCTTTTAAAATCAAGATTTAAAATGAATAATCACATAAATAAATTTTTATCAAATTAAAAAGAAATTTTTCAAAATTAAGATTTAAAATAAATGGTCACATAAATGAATTTTTATTAAATTAAAAAAAATTAAAATTCAATATCACGTGGATTTAAAATATATATTTAGTTGATTACTGTTTTATCCTTTTGTATTATGTGTTTTTAAATTTATAAAAGAACATTATAGAGTATTTATACATATTTAATTTTAATGAATTGATAGTTTATTTTTAAACGCCGAGTGTAATTCTTTTATTTTATATTTAATCTTTTCTTACCTTTTTTATATATTATATTTTTTTTTACGTTTTTTAATATTATATTAATTTATTTTACGTTTTCTTAAATTAATAATTTTTATTTATAATTGTTTTAAATCAATGAAGATTTATAATAGTTATTTATAAATATTTTCATTTGTACATAAAATTTTGATGTGAGACTATAATGTTTCAAATATATGCTACTACAAACCATCCCAACAATTTGTTTTCATAACATTCTATCATTTTTCACGTGATTGTTCATGAGTAAGTTCTTTTTCAAATGTAGAACAAAATATAATTTTTAATAAGAAAACTAAAATATATGAGTGCTGCCAGTGCATGCATACTGCTATATAATACTAGCTTTCAAACTTTCTTGGTTACGAAGGCTTAGTCTTCCTTCTTCGAACATTCTTCCGCACACTTATAATGGTTTCTTGGATTTCGCTTTCCTCTTTTTATAATTGTAACACTCCAACTTTAATAATTAGTTATATGTTTAGGATGAAAATCTTAAATTTTATAGGTTTTGAAATTGTTAAGTTTGAATGATGAATTGTTGGTACAAATACATTTAAATTGGTGAAATTGATATTATAGAATTAATAAAAATATTGTGTAATACGTATGTGTGAGTTATTGAATTGAAGAATATGATGTTGATTTCAAATGTTGGATTTTTGGGTTGAAAATACTGATTTTCGTACTTAAAACAACAAAATTTTCACTCTCACAGTGTGAAAACCGATTTTCAATATTGGAGAAAACGATTTCCTGAAGTTGACAGATTTTTTTTAAAATTTCAAAAATTCATAACTTTTGAACCGTAACTCCGTTTGAATCCTCGTTCGAAGCGTTAGAAAGCTAGCATGATATTCTTTTTAATGAAAATGGTCTTGCTGGCAATAGATGATTTAATTATCGTGTGGTTGTGTAAAATGACTTGTATTTATGTGTTGTGTGATTGTGGTTAATGTTGGAATGTAATGATATTTTGTATATTGTTTTCTATGTGTTATTATGTTGGTTTGGAATGGTTGTGTTATGAATATGAATTGTATGTAGATAATTCATGAAGATATATATGTATGTGCAAATGTGTGATAATTCAAGTGTGATGAATTATTGAAGATATGCATAAATGTTAAGATTAGAGAATGGTCTTAATTACATATGGTTGTTGTAATTGCACATGCATCATTTGTTGTCAAGAGACATGTTTGTTAGTTTCAAGACAGCTAGTGACTTATCCCAAACTTAGAGAGGAGTTTGAAAGCTTAAAAAACGTGTTTTTTGTGTTATTGATCTAGAGGACAGACTCGGTTTAAAGTAAAAATTGAATAAAATTAGCAGTGATTAGTACCACATGCATGAATATTGCATTTGAGTGTCATTGAGTCATATTGCGTGTATATTTACAATATGGAATTATGTGAACTATGTGGAATTGTTGTACTTTGTGAAATTGTGAATGATAAATGAATATTTGTGAATAGTATGACTATTTGGGTGATGTTACGTTTTTTTAGACATATGAAGTGTGAGAATGTTGTTTTTATACATTAATGCTATGTATTATATATTATTATATGATTTCGATAGTTGTTGTACCCCAAAATTTTCCCTCTCGTTTTTCTCCAAAAATCACCCTGGATCCTCAGGTTTACTTTCAAGCTTTGAATTACAAATTTTTCATGAAGATCACTCCCAAGGGCAAATTAGTCATTTGCGCTGAAAGGCCAAACTTTGACCTCTTGATCAAAATCAAATCTCAAAAATCATATTTCATCAAAACATGTTGAAATAGGGAGTTTTTTCCATTTAAAGTTCAAAAGTCAAATTTACTTTGGAAAAAAAAACCAAACTTCTAAGTACTTGAGATTTTTCTAAGTATTTAAGGGGAAAATGGCACTTCAAAGCTTCTGAACCAACCTCCAGGCAGGAGCAGTCAGAAGTTGCAAGCTTAGCTCAGCACATAACCTTCAGTCAGAAGTTGCAAGCTTAGCTCAGCATATAACCTTCAGTCAGGAGTTGCAAGATTAAGCTGAGCACGTAACCTTCAGTCAGAAGTTGCAAGCTTAGCTCAGCACATAACCTTCCGTCAGAATGTGGCTCTTCAGCAGCTACGCAAGCTCAGACAGAATCTACCAAGGTAAGAACAGAAGATTATAAAACATGCTGGAAAGCCTAAAGGATCCCTCAGAACTGGCTAAGGCAACAGGATGCCAAAATCAGAACTTGGGTGCGTTGTTTTATACTGAAGCAGAACTGTTGGCTCGGATTTAAGTAATGATGCAAAATCCCCCATTACAAGATTTCTGATATTGACAAATCTCATCACCATTTAATGCTCATTAATGCTTACAATCACTTTTGAGTATTCGTCCAAAGGGTCTCTCCACGTGTAGCATAGCAACACCTTTGTACAGATTTAGGTATGGGTCTATGCGCCACTTTTCGCCTATGGGTGTCACTTTTCCTTAATCCTCGCTTACTATTCCAGCCTAGGCTAAAATCTGTCAATCATCACAACTTTTTATGAACTTTCTTCAAGAGTAAGTCAGCATCTATTGCATGGTATTGGCGCCACTTAACGTTTTAAAAACCAACAAAGCTTTGCCTATAAGTAGAACACCATTGTCCACTGAAAAAGCCCGGTCCAAGTCCAGAAAATTGTTAGAAAAGAAACAGAAAGTTTTAGCAAGAAAACACCTTGAAACTCTGCCAAAATTCCTAGTGTTTCAAGAACCTTAAACACAACTTTGAATCTCCTACCTTTAAACTCTATTTGTTCCCAAAGTATTTCTTGACTAAAAAACGCCCATACAGTTTTTGACCCACACATATACCCTTCATCCATCCATTCAAAGAACCTGTTCAGAACACCATCAGAGTTAAGTCTAACTCCAGTTCACAGAATTTCTTCCAGTGGCAAGGTAAGCACCTGCTGACTCTCACCACACTGCTTAAGCATCATCAGATTTGCATGCTCAAAAAACACAACGTAGATATCATGCTTCTGATGTTGTACATTTTTTGAGATTTTTACGCCTCTACATGCTTAAGTAGAGAATGAATCAGTTCAGAACTGCCTTGAAGAAACTGAAACTTTGAGTTAGGATTAGCAAAGGCATACTTGCCTCTGATTTTTTGTTCTGATTCTCCTTATTTCTGAAGCGCTATGACACCTGCTGAAACTGTCTTAGGCATGTCTTCTATTTTAAGGAGAAATAACCAAATTGCAGATGTTCTGACTAGCACAGAGGGAGACCAAGTTCTGAATTTGACACCATTCTGAGGCCTGTTTTGTTATCAGTAATATCAGAACTTCTGAAAATTAATGTGTTCCCAGCAGGGTCATAACTTTTGACCTATACATTTTCACTAACAGGTTTCTGTTTTGCAGCGCACCAGGGTCAGAACTTCTGACCTATACATTTTCACTAACAGGTTGCTATTTTGTAGCAGGCCAGGGTCAGAACTTCTGACTTCCTCTCAGCAGCACGCTGATCCTTTCCTTCTTCCTTTCTTTCTTCCCCTTGTTATTTTCTTTATTTTTCTCGTTGGTACTCCCCATTCATAAATGTGTACCCCCACCCCCTAAATATTGTAATAGCGTAGGACTTTACATTTCCGCATTTTTATCGCTTTCAAGTGTAAATGCTAGCAATTAGGATATGTATGGAAAGATAAAAATCAATGAAATAGAAAATCCTAATTCAAGATAAAATCATGCATGCAATCAAACACACTTGCACACAAACACCCTTAGGGTTTCTCCACTTGGTTGCCTTATACAAAAATAGTCATGTTACGCATGCAAAGTATCTTGGTAAAACAAACAGAATCAAAAGATCATAGTCCCTCGATG